CTCACATTAATTATCATCACTTGTCCGTACACTTCCCCTGGTGAATCATGTTTCTCTGCTATCCCACAGCAGCATCCAAAGCTGAGTGCTTCCCTGAAGGAGAGGCTGAAGAGATCAAGGCGCTCCTTCACTTCGCCCCTCTCTGTGGCTAAACGCCTTTGTGTGGATGATGAGGAGGAGGATGGTCGACAAGTTTCGGCAGATTCCCGGGAGACCGTTAATAATCTTTCAATCATTACGCACGATGTTGATGTAAACAGAAATGAAGCGAGATCAGGGAGTGAAAGGTTTTCTGGACCAGTTCCTGAACCAACAGAGGACTTTGTACAACAACTCAGAAAGGAGGTCAAAGACAAAAAGGAGACTCTCCGTAGGCTCAAGATGGTGAAAATGTACAGAAGCAAGGTATCAGCTCCCTTTAAATTGAATATAATAGGATTCATGTTTGGTTACCTGGACTGGACGTGGTATTTTTTGTAACCCATTCTCCATCTTTCTCCCTAGAATGATTTAACACAGCTCCAAAGCTTGATTGACAAGTGGCGGAGTTGTGCTCAAGCTGCACTGTATGAGCTCCAGTCAGAAGTCCCCATAGACGGACGAAAGGCCGACCTGTCTGAGCTTATTGACCTCTTCGGTCTGGATGGCGGCATTCTGCACTTTGATCGCACAGAGGAGGACTTCACTACCTGATAAAATGCTTTGAAACACATCATTTCTACCATCAGTTAACAAAAAAGCTCCACAAATGGAGTTAGTTGACAGTTTTACTTGTTGCTGCTACAGTTTTCATTCACAGCTTAATGTGCACGTTTCATGTTCAGTTCAATTGCTAAGAAAAGTGTAAATAAAATTGTGTTGACAATAAGTCTTTGCTCAGTTGTGTTGTAGCTGATCCAGTGAAGGAAAGTTCTTCTTTGTCAGACGCTCAACCTCTGCCCAAAGGAAATTAAGGTCTTCTGCCTGTGCTTGGGCGAGGTCCTTCAAGTTGCTCTTGTGAACGATTTCCTGGTAGCGCTCTTCTGTTTCAGAGGCCTCGTTTTCCTCTGAAGCTAAACGCCAAACAAGCCATATGATTAGCCAGAAGAAGAGGAAAGCTCCCTCTGCAATGTGTTTAATTATAGCTGAAATAACTGTTTCTATTACCTGTCGCTTCACAGATGTCTCTTAACTCGGCCACGGTCACCTGCATATCAGGAAGCTGCTGTTCCAAAATTAAGTTCTTCTCAGCTTTTATTGCCGCCTGCCTGTTAATCTGTTCAGCCTTTTTCATGCGTTGCTGCACTTCATGTAGGTGAGTCTGAAATTAAGAACAATATTCATATTAGCTGAACAACACAGAGCTAATTGATGGGAACCCATCATTAATTTTTTTTTTTTACCTTTCTCATCAAAGCTATACTTTTCTCCAAACTGGAAACTTGCTTGGACATGCGACTGTCTTGAGACTTCTTGCTGAGATACTGGAAAGACAAGGGAATAACTGGTTTAAACGAAGTGAAAACTGAAAGATTAGCAGCAGAAAGGGTTTTCCATCTGCTCTTGATGTTTTGATGAGTGATCCCGTAACAGTTGTGCCAAGAAAACAAAAACCTTAATCAGAAAATGTTCAGGATCACTCAGGGTGGATTTGTTTATGTTCAAAGTTTTTCTCAGTGGCTCAAACAATGACCGGAAGCTGAAATCCGCACCACAGTAGCACTACCTGGACCTTTTGCTGTAGGAAACTGGCACTGACGGCAGGAAACACATGTGCCATGATAACTGACTTTAAAAAAATAAGATGAGTCACATTTGATCTGTATGTTTTTTTCATTTCTCAATCCCACAGCATTACTAACTCATGAAATCTCTTGCGTTTTATGATATGTGGTAAGAGGTGAATGCATTCTAACTGAGAGCAAAACATCGTACTGTCAGCTTTTGTGGTCTGTATTTAATTAAACTGCTTATTCACGCCTTAGATCAACACTTGAAGCCAAATGAAGCACAGAAGATTTTGTTTTCCTCAAATTTGAAATGCATAAACATGACCAAAAAAAAAAAAGGAAAGTGAATAAAGGTGAGGACGGCATCATTTTCCAACTGGACTCCATCTATTGGGTAAGAGTTTTAAAAGGTAAAAAGAACAAAACAGGGTGTGGCGCTTCTGTGAATAGGGCGTGTGTCTTCAATAAAAGATCACCCATCTGTACTGGAGGATGGTAACAATTTTCTGCTCGCAAAACATCTGATGCTGCCAAAACCCAAATACCTGCGTTGATATCACCGACTGAGGTTTGGCCAGAAACGTGAAACGGATTAATGTTTCACCCCAAACACAGAGATTTCATTCTTATTTCAAGCAGATGCTGAACTTTGTGAAAACTTCAGACATATAATTAGCATATCGGGGTTATCTCGGGTGAAATGTGTTCACTTTCCTGCAGCTCGTTATTAAAAAGGCATTTGGATAAGAATGAAAATAAGCAGGTTTTTTTTGGACAAGCTAAAAAAAAAAAACATAAAGGCAGCAGTATTAGGAGGTTTTAGAATCCACATTACAGCCATGTCCTGTTGCTCCCCCGAGAGTCGTAACATCTTGATGCCTCTGGCCTTGTCGTTGAGATCGTCGAGCTGCTTCCTCATCACCTTGTGCTTCCACTCCAGCTGGATGATGTCCTTACAGACATTTTTGCACCTCACCATGGAGGCAATCTTCTGCTCTGTGAGCATCTGATTACACAAATGATAATCACTTGACAGACATATTAACCATTACTTGAATTTGGCACGTTTTTTCAAAACAGAAAATAATTTGCTCGTGCAGCATTTACATTGTAATTTAAGTTTATCTGCAATTATTTCCCTCACATATTTTTGTGCTTGGATCTATTGTCCTTGTTAAGAATCTGTGTTTTGCAACGAGTGTCAGTCTGACCCTGATTTCTTTTTTGAGGTCGTCTTTGACGCTCCTGTGGCAAAGAACTAATGTGTTGTATTTAGCAGTCAGGTCCGTGTTGGACACCTCCACTTTGCCATGTTTCAGTATGACCTGGACCATGGTGTCCATCAGGTGCTGGTTCTTCTCCTTACGCAGACTACAGCAGAAGAGACGGCAAAATCACTCAAGAATCATTCTTCCACAACAGAATTACTGCACCTGACTTTATCACCATTTACTATTGATGCTGGGTGTAAAGGGAGTGAGACAAACTATCACATTGCAACTTGAGTGCCATTCTATCAGGTTTGGTTTTGAATTACAATTTCAACAATTACCTTTCAAATGCTTCTGAGAGATTTTTAGTTTCCTGTTGGGCTGCCTTATCCTCATCTCTCCTCCTCTGCAGGAACGCCTGCATCTCAGCCAGAGTCAAAGCTTTTATTTTAACCTGCAATGGAAGTGAGAAAAGGGTTACAAACATAGAAGAAAATGCATAAAGTAAGTGTTAAGATCTGTTTAGCACCTAGGTAGGACTAAGAATTCCAGTCATTGTGTATAAAATTTCATCAGAGTTTGTGAAAAATGTTGCACTACTTCGATATCTGTATTTATTTTAGTGGATGAGCAATGTTCCTCTGTGTTTCCAATCTTTAACCTCCAACCGTGTCCTTGTATTACCTTTTGCTCGCTCTCTACTTTTGCTCTGCGGACAAGACAGAACCTCTCCCAAATCGACGGTTTCAGGCCCTCTGGTATATTTTCAGGAGCATCCAGCTCCTCCATGGCCTTAAGCATTTTGCCGAGCCCGTCAGGCGCCAGAGAACCACAAAGACGAGGCTCTTTAGACAGTTTGGAGTTGTTGTCGGTCTGGGTCCTCATCTTTTGCACCCTGAAGCATAAAAAGACTGTCTACAGAAGGTGCTAAACACTTTATAATTAGTGTATATCAAATCATGCAGTTTATATACATATGAAGCTATGAGCCAGCTGTTTTACAAACCTGGGTCTACGTTTGAACAGCTTATAGAGGGAGTCAACCACTTTGTCTGGTACATCGGGGAACTCCTTTTTGAAATCTTTGTCTAGAAGCTTGAGAGACATGGATGTTATGCTGTTATTTTATGTCCACCATCACTTACAGTCATGATGACTAACAGCTCTTTATCAGCGGACTTACTTTGTCCTCCTCGACAAGGCTGTCATAGGCCTCGTGAAACAACTCGACTTCTTGTTCATGTCTCTTCAGCTCTTCTCCAGTTTCATCCTGTCAGAGAAAGAGGTCATTAAGACGAGAGCAGCATGTACGGGAAATAATCTTGAAGTCAAACAAACGAAGGTGCCACACAGGTTGGTGCTTGCAAAACACGCCTGAGCGATGGGAAGATGTTGAACTTGAATTTAGATGGACACTGCTGCCATTTCTCACAAATAACAGATTCTGGAGCTGGCAGCCATAAATTCCAACAGCATTACTGCACACGAGTTCTCTGACCTTGTATGCCAACATTTTTTCAAGTTTGAGCTTGAGCTCCAGCTCTTGATTTCTCATCTCCTCTTCTGCTAAGACTGAATCAACAAGATAGGTAATCTTGAGCTCTTCCTGTAAAACATAGCAGAAATAATATTAAGCAGGATTTTTTGAAAGATTTCGCATATCTCAAGGAGGAAAGGACAATGTGAAAAGAAGGACTTTTACATTTACATGTAGATGTGTAACTGCGTGCTGCCTCACCTGGTATATAGCTTCTGTATAGTTCCCTTTCTTCTCCAACAGTTTTGTCAAAGTTTCATCAAATTTTTCAGTCGCATCCTTAGTGGAGTCCTGCAGTTTTTTCATTTCAATCTTCAGTGCCTGCAATTACAGATGATTTATACTGATCAGATTGTATTAATATTTCTGATTAATGCAATACAGAACAACAAATGCATCCTATGTAATACCTTTTTGTATTTTTCCTTCTCTTCACTGAGGTCTTTGGTTTTCTTTTCATACTCTTTGTAGACTTTTTTCTCCTCCTCACTCCAGTCGATGTCAGCTTTGTTCAACACAAACTCAGGCGGAGGTATTTCCTGTGGAGTAAATTCAATAGAAACTATGTGCCCCCTTCATGCTGATTTTTCTAATTCAACTGGAACTGCCCAGAAAAGAATTCAAGTTAAAAAAAAAACAAAAAAACAAAATAGGGCATCATTAGAATAAAGGGAGACGATTAATGCTTTGCAAGTGGTTCTTTTTGCTACATTGAGATTCTGAGTTTTGAAGAAAGAAAAAAAAGACTGCATGAGGTAGAGAAGGTTTTTCTTCCATTGTTTTTACAGCGTGTGCGATCTAATTACAGTCAGGTCCATAAGTGCAGAGACAGTAACACAGTTTCTGTAATTTTGCCTCTGTACAGCACCACGACAGATTAGAAATGAAGTAATTAAAATGTGATTGAACTGCAGACTTTTGGCTTTGATTTAAGAGGTTTAACAAAAATACTGCAGTGAGAGTTTAGGATTTACAGACATTTTTTTTACATGGTCTCCCTCATTTCCACAGGCTGAAACATTATTGGAAAACTAACATAATTATAAATATGAGGATTATTTTTAATACTTGGGATGCAAATCCTTTTCATTCAATTACTGCCTGAAGTCTGGAGCTCACGGACATCATGAGATGCTTTGCCAGGACTTTTCTGTATCCGCCTTAAGTTGCTGCTTGTTTGTGGGTGTTTCTGTTTTCAGTTTTGCCTCCAGTAAGTGAAAAGCAGCTCATTTGGGTTGAGGAGTGACTCGACCATTTAAGAACATTCCATTTCTTTGACTTAAAAAAACATTTCGGGTTGCTGCGTGGTATGTTGTGGGTCATTATCCATCTGTACTGAGAGTTCTGACTGAGTCTGAACAGAAAGTGTTGCTGTACACACTTCTGAATTCATCCTGTTACATCTGCCAGCAGTCACATCAACAGTTAAAGTTCCACTGACAGCCATACAAACAATATTGTTGAACTAAATGATATTAAACCTGAAAGTCTACACTTCAGCTGCACCTTGTTTGTTTCACTTCAAATCTGTTGTGGTGATGCACAATCTAAAAAATGTTCTCTTTTTTCACCATTTTTAGGATGTCCTTCTTTTTCACTTCAAGCACTCCTTCCATCATGTCATCAAGAGCTCTTTCTCTGCAATCATCATCCTACAATAGAAAAACAAAAACCATCAGTTTGACACAACTGAACTACTTTATTTATGACTTATTGTGTATTCTATATAGCAATAAGGTTTATGAAATTTTCTAGATTTTTGGTGAATGATGATAACCATAGAAGCAGTAATTGCATATGGAAGTATCTGAAGAATTTGTAAACATTGACGCACAGCTTAAAAAACAAAAACATTATAATAGCAGCATACTTGAGCAGCCAAATGATTTTGCTCTTCCAGCTTCCTCCTCTCTTCCTCCTTTTGCTGTTCTGGGCTGAGATACTTCTCTGCTTTTATCTGGAGAGGGACAAAGGTGATATCTCACATGACAACGACCGCAAACTATTTCACATTTTGGAAAACAAAACAAACTCAACAAGCCGCAGAGAGGTTAAGCATGCGCTTTGTTTGTTGAACTTTCTGTGAACTTTGTCAACTGATTAGATGTTTCTTGAGGACAGTAACCTCAGAGTCGTCCACGGTGAACAGCCTCTCTGGCCACTCGCCGTCGGTCAGGCTGGGCTCCCACAGCTCGATGTTCATGTCCAACTCCAGCATGATTTCCCTGATCTGCCTGTTCCTGTCCTTCACACGTCTGATCTCCTGCATCTTCTGCCTGTGCAGGACCTCAAAGTCGGCGTTGAAACCCGTCTTGATGCGATAGATCAAATCCTGCAGTCAGAGACGAGTGAAATTCAACAAAGAAAAAATATTATTTATGGTCATGATTCAAGGTTAGAGGCTATATTTATAGTCCTACTAGGTGAAATTTGTTCTGCAGCGAGAGTTCACATGAATGACTGAGTCAGTTATAATACCCACTTATTTGAACGTGTATTTCAAGGCATCATTATCACGTTTTTGCTGACATCAGTTTTTGCAACAGGTTCCCACCTGTAGCAGAGTTATCTGGTTGATCCGCTGCTCTGTGATTTGCAGGCTGAACTGATCGTAGATGTAGGGGTTTGAGAATCCTAACTGAGAGGAGAAACTTCCCATCAGAGCGGCGTTCTCTGCCTCATGGCCTTCCTCTGCCTGCTCTTCCTCTTCTGCGCTCTTCTTTAGGCTGCTGAACTGCAGCTGAAAGGTGGGGGAAACAAGCGGGCTGAGATAAACATTGAGCGTCGAATTTGTGGCCATAAGATTATAAACTTTACCCAAAGAATATTGCAGTGAAGAGAACTATCGTAACAACTTCGTTTTAGCCACAAAGCCGTAAATCTCAAACAGTTTCTTCACTGGTGGACTGGCATGTGTTCAAGCATTTCAAAAAGCTTTAGCAGTCAAAGGTCAGATGAAGGACTGCGATTCAAAGCATCCAATTATTTTGCAGCAATAAACTTGTTTTGGCTTGAATGGTTTTGCAATAAAATGTATTTTCAGTGAGTTTAAAGCAATGCAGTGAAGAGGCTGCATGTCACAGCTTTTGCATTTTTGTGTCACATTCAAAACAGTAAACATATGGTTTAATTGATTCTAATTCTTCACATGTGCTTTTCTTTGCAGTGTTAATCAGAATCTAAACCACAGCCTGTGAAGCAGGTTTGCTTACGGTGCACGCAGCCTGTTCAAGCTTCCTTATATTCTCCACCCTGCGAAGGTCCTCCAACTCTTTCTCTGTCTGCTCTTTCAGGGAAAAGTTCCGCACCTCAATTTCAGAGTAAAAGGCCTGCAGGAGACAACCACAAGTGATTTAGAACAGAAAAAAACATACAGTCATAACTAAGAAATGTAACACTCATTAGTTTGACACCTCAGTGCTTGTCTTACCTTAATGGCTCTGCCTTTGACTTTCACAGAATCCCAGCATTCTCTCTTTAGGACGTCACGGAGGTAACAATTTTGGACAATGTCCCCTTTGATTTCGGACCTTAACTACAATGAAAGGACCTTAAGGATCACCTCAAAGCAGAATTAACGATTAATTGCGTTCATGTTTGTGTGTGAACAGTACCTTTGCAACCTCCTGCTCCACCATGGCCTCATGTCTCCTCTGCTCCTCAACATCCACGCTGAGATGTTGTTCAAGGAGGTTCTCATTTTCACCTACCAACTCCTGGATCTGACCACGCAGAAAACGTAGCTTAGGAGTTACAGTGTTGGTGTAAAACACACACAGACACACACATTCTACCTCTATCTTTGTGTTTTTGTGTATGAAGCAATGACACAATGCGACTTGTTTGTTGAACTGATATCGATTCATGTATTTTTTCTGATGAACAAACTGTATTTTCTATGAGCTAGAAATCAATAAAACTGGAAATTAAAGTTTAAAATATGTCAATTTTTTTTTGATGGATGTGAGTTGAAATTTGACATTGGCACTGGTTTATAGACTGCTCCTGAGCGCTTCAGCTTCATGAACAACTTTTTTTCCCCCCAAATTACCCTATTTTACTGTGTGTGTACGTTTTGCACAAATAAAGTGAAGCCTTACAGAATTAAAAACACTTAGAGATACAGTGTTTGTGTTTTGTGCACAGTGGGATTCTGTCAGGTTTTAAGGTTGCTATGATCATTTCTTATTGCTTAAGAACTTATGAGTATCTTCTTTGTGCAGAACTGGAAAAAAAGAGAGATAAAGCTCACTTACAGCACCACGTAACTCTTTGATGGTTTCCCTCAGTTTTTGCTTTGGCTCAGAATATTTCTCATTGTCTTCTTTGATAACCTGTTCAAAATACACACAACAAACACAGCACTTTTCCTAGCTGCTGTAAGCAAAAATTAAAAGAATTTTAAAACAGTAGTCATAACAAATTTGACAACATGAAGAGTAGAAAAATTCCGATGCAGCATTTCAGTGCAGCGTAAAACCAGACAGAAAAGTGCCCCTTTCCCATGTGTAATTGTAGAACAGGTGTAAAACCAACAATTCAAACACCTGCCACGCCTCAAGTATCAACTTATTGTTATCAAGAAGCTTTGTCAGGTGGCTAGGTACTGGACAGGATTCTGCAGATGCTTATCTGCTTTAAAGTACCACACTACCACTTAGAGAATTGGTTGACTTTCTCACTCTGTAAATGGCGATAAATCAAACGTTGCACAGAGCGACTGTGTGCCAAAAGCAACACAGCTGTTTTCGGAACAAGATATCACACACAGGTGCTAAAGGGCACTTTCGTAATCCCCCATCTGCAAGTTCTACAGTTGACATTATCCACATCTCATGCCACCATCACAAATATCCCAGTGTGTTAGTCACTGACTGTCTCTCGCCTGCTTTCCAGCCAGGTTGGATGTGAAGGTGGAGCAGGCAGCAGGCTGTTGTAACTCTCGTCTTGTTCGGTCACATCCACAGATGTTCTGCTACTGACCTACAAGGTGTTAACAGCACATAAAGACAATAACACAGATACATTGCTTAACTGTTAATTTAGTTAATTGCTTACATGTGTGGCAAACTGAGTGAAATAATACCAGATTTACACCACTTTGCTATAATTAAGAATGTGAAATGTTGGTTTGATTAGTGAAACAGCTGAGAAACAAACTTTTCTTACAAAGAATTCACATCCTCACACTTCTACCTGCAACATAAACATAATCTCAGTCTTTGAGACAATGTTTTTGCTCAAACAGTTTTACAGAGGCATAGCTTCAGTTTTGGAAGCTGTAATTTGCAGCACTGCTTGCATTTTACTGAGAGGTTCTCCAACTATTTTTTCCACCCCAGTAATAGCAGTGAGGAGTGACTACATTTTAGAAACCCAAGTAAGTGTACCTAGAGCAATGAGAACATTACAGCTTTAATAAAGGCAAAGCTTATTACATGGCTCCTCAAGCTGCAGTATTTTCTGCAGTTGTAGCGTGCTGTTAAATCACCCACATAGTTTGTACACTGTCATGTAATACTAATTTACAGTTAAATAGAATACAATGGAATATTTCTTACCTCACGTTCGTCTGTTTTTTCACTTCCAGCAGGAGTCCCTTGGCCCCACAGAGGAAAGCCGATGAGGATGGGGTTTTCTGCATTGAATATGTCTTTCAAGAAATGTGCTGTAGAATGACTATACTGAGTAGCTTCACTCGTCTTGCCAGCATCCACATCTTTAATTCTGTATGGAGTCATGGAAAACAAATAAACAATAAATATGTGAAGGTATTTATTAGTTGTTTTCCTGTGAAAACACCAAAACCAACAGAGTCCATCGCTCTATAATTACTGACATATTTCCCTCGTCTGCAGCACTCAGCAACAAACTGATTTGTTCCCATGGTAATGTGCCACAAATGTGTAGTTAGATTTTTGAATTCATGTCATTCAAACGGGAGTAAATAGTGAATTTGTTGGGAAATACCCTCAGCCGATGAGTATCTGCGGTAGCAGGACCGTGTATATAAGACTGACTAAAATAAACTGCAGTGCTCACGTTGATCAAAACAAAGGAACACGTGACAGTGTGACTAAATGATTAATGCATTTATTAGTTTTTGGGCAACAATGGGTCTTTGTTACACTAAGGAATAATTTATTTCCTGCTTTGGTTACACAGACAATATTTACTCTTTTCACTTGATATGTTACTGACAAGAAAAATACAAAATATCACCAAACATGTCTTAAACTGGCACGTGATGATCATTACAAGCAGCTGGTACATCAGATACAAAGTGTACCAACAAATGGATGCAGAAAAAAAACAAAACTAAAACAATTCTTGGAATAGTAAAACAGCACTAAAGCATGCAGCAGCAGGCAGAGGAGGCAGATGTGGAATGTAAGTGGGATGTTACTTGGTGGAAAGATTGCGCTGTGGGTTTTATTAAATCTTTGTCTTCCTGTGAGTTATGGTCATGATTCCCCTGGACCTTTCACTCACAGGACATTCATGTATTCATTTACGACCGTCTCTCACTGCCAGCGGTAACAGCGGAAGTGCATTGTTTTATATGAACTATATGAAATTGCAAAGTGCAAGCGTGAGCAACAGTTCCCTCTACTGTTCACAGCTGTGCATTATGGAAGCCAGACGGGCTGCTTTACCTGAGATTCGCAGACAAAAGAGAGCCATCATTGAAGCCGGCAGTGAGGAGTGTTCGCCCGTCTGTGGAGAAGGACACACTCCGGACTCCACCAAGACGGACTGGATGACATTGCAGTTGAATGTACCGCTCCTGCAGGCATATCATAGACCACAGAAAATTAAAGCATGAATCAAAATGTATCTAAGTAAAAAATAATAAAATGAGTTCCTACCATGGAAGTAGTTTCTCTAATCTGTAGTAAACCATCTCGGCCTACTGAAGCCAACCATAAGTTGTGAGGAGACAGAGCGAGAGAGGCTGGGCCCAGTGGATGACCCCTCACTTCCTGGTTTGGTTTCAACTCGACCACCTGTTGGCTGGAGGAATCGTCTGTGTTCTGAGGAGATGATTGGGGAGCAGGATAATGGTTTCATGTGTATTAATACAAAGATTAAGAATCCAAACATGTGGCTTCTATCAATATTTTATTTTTTTTAATCACAATGATGCTTTACAGTATTTTTTTTTTGTAAAGACGAAGACAGAGAATTATGAACACATTAGACAGCAGCAAACCTCAGGAAGCTGAAATCGCTGAAGGGTTTTATTCCTGTGGCAATAAGCAAAAACCTCGCTGACACCCAGAACACAGGACGTAAGTGGATGAAGCACTTTGTATCTGAACACTTTGAGGAAGTGAGCGGACAGACACCCATGTCGGTCTACACAATCTGGACCTGCAATACACACATTGTTACACGTGATCGGAAACAAATAAATTAGTGATTCCAATTCCACATATCTACATACAAGCACTACTACTGAGGGTTTCTTCAGTGGCTGGTCCTTGTGCTTTTGTTTGGACATTAGAAGTGCTGCGTCAAATAAAATGGCCTATAAAATGGCTCTATAAACATTGTTACAGCGTACAATCTACTATCTACACTTTTTAACTACACTCAACTGTCATATAAATCACTACATGCACAGCTACTGGTGATTTTAACCAGTCATCAGCTTTGCATATCACATAGATGCCACACCACAGTCATATGTTTTAGTTATATAACTTTTGTGTGGTGCAACACACGACTGTGGCCACACCCTTGCTTTAGAATTTCCACTTTCCTCTAGATATTTCTCTGTGTCATGGTCTGTGCTTTTCAACACAGTTTTCCAGGCTGCTGTATAAACACAGGGTTTAAAGTACTCAGCTGTTGCATTCTTTTTAACGGCGTTAAAGACAGCATGTCTAAACATATGGATACAAAAATGCCCTGCTGAGTACTATTAATCAGTCGTGCAAATGTGTTTGTCTTTGTGAAGAATGATTGAAGTCAACTGTTGAGGCATCTCCTCAGAATAATAAGGATATTTGTAGACATGAAACAATAAGAACAGAAGGAGTAGTGGAATCCCAGCAGATAGAAACTCTGCTGTTTTCTGCTTCAAGTTATGTAAAAAGGAAACTACAGGGCACCAAGCAGCACGCAAACCTTGAATTTGGTTTAATCCCGTCAATCACCTTTCAATACGCTCTTCGCCTACAGGAGATGATTCACCATCTGTTGGTTGTGAAATAAATTCCTACCTTTTGCTCTGTGTTGTAAAGTATGCAGTGGACCTCCCTGGCCTCTGTTTGAATTTGTTAAATTGCTCAGTCAACACCTCATGATTTTATGACTAATGTGTCAGACATAAGATCCTCATATTGCCTGTAGCCCCACCAGAGGGTTCAGATAATCTATTACTCATTGCTCGCTCTCCTCCGGATGGATGCCGGGTAATTTTATGATAATTTCACCTTTTTCACCCTGGAGGACCCCGTACCTGAACCATCTGTTATAAAAACACAACTGGTGCCAAATGTTCAAAGGTTGCCAAGATTGCCATATTTACCGAAGACGGTGCCTGCTGTTACTATGACTACTATTGATGTAAGATTTGTTGTGCCTAATTTCAGTTGCATCAAATTTGGTATTGCTGCAGTTAAATATTTTCAGAACAGGTTCAAAAACATCCCTGACACTGACTCATTACTCTGAGGCTGCTATTTACTCTCACAGTTCACAGTTTTGAATGGATAGAAGTTAAAATACCAAGTTTTTTGAATTTCACTTTGACCTGGTTGCAAGGTTATAGAGACTTACTGCATTCAAACTTCCCCAAAGTGTCTCTCATCATAGAGCCCAAGTTTGCTCATGCTTTGCCAGGTGGAAGTTTTAAAATATTACCAAGGGCTTAAAGGGTAAAAAGAACTTCAACATCTACAAAGTATGAAATTCATTGAGTCCATTAGTGCTGTACCTGCAAGGTTCCCAGAAGGTAGAGTGAGCACTGTGAGCAGACTGCCTTCCTGATTACTGTCCTCTTGTCCAGCACACAGTGCAAGAACTTTCACCTGTTCACAGTCCCTGATGCATTGAGCGGAAAGTGACAAAACGTGTCCAGGAATTACTGGGGGAAAAAAAACAGTTTTGGTCACAGAAATCGTACACTCAACCGATCTATGTATCAATTCTTGTCTACAAGGACATTTGCAGTGACACATGAAGGGATTTAGTGTACACAGGGGTGCAGTAACTTTTTAAATTATAGAGTGAAAGAGAATTTACCTGTGTATCCTATTACTGAAAACGCTGTTGATGGCTTTGCATCTAGCAAATAGATACGTGAATCTGAGGCACTGGTGAGAAGGTAGTGTCCCTCTTGATCAAAGCTGTAAAAGCACAAACATTTTCATTTACTTTCCAGACCAAATTTGAAAGAGCAGTTGCCCTCTCTGGGTGCTACGGGTAAAAATAATCCATGCTTTTATTTTATAAATGTATGATGAGCTACTTGTTCACAAATTTAGTGTTAAACTGAAACTCCACGGCATCACAGGGATGGAGGATGCTTACACTAGGTGATCCACAGCAGAGTGGTAGAGCTGAACCTGGTGCACCAGGCGAGGTTGTTGCTCCTTGTTCAGGTCAAGGAAGAGGACATTTCCTGAAGCTGTTCCAACAGCTGCATAATGTGCAATAGGACAGCAGGCTAGACTTGTGACCTAAACAGACAATTCATTTTTTTCCACATGTGAAGAACAAAATACTTCTTCAACATTCACATAAATTTAATTGTATGGTTAACATAAAGTCATGTTCAGACAGTAATCATAGAACAATTATACTGTGTGGCACTATTAACAGGTTCTGAATGTTCATATGCTGTCAGTCTGACCTCAGCTTGAAGAGACAGCGAACCGATACAGATGCCATCTGAGGACCACAGCTGCAGTTCTCCAGAGTCCCTCAGTGACTTCAACCAGTAAAAACACAAACATCACAGGTCTGAAACTGATCCAAATGATACGTCATTACAAGACACTGTGATTCTTGAGCAACACAAATGCCTTACCACACAAACATTCCTGTCAGTGTGCAATAAAGCTGCTGCCACAAAGTTGCCACTGAGAACATCCAGAACCTTCACAATCTTGTCTGACTGGGCTTGGTTCAGCATATAGATCTGCCCCTGAAAAAACAAGAGGCCAGATTCTGTTTTCAAAGTATCTTTTCTCCCAAGTAACCAGGGTTTCCCTGCACAGAAAAACTTCTGACACTCCCTACCAAGGAAGTTTTATGGAGTGCCAAAGAAGATGAAAGAATTGTTTGTTGTTGTTGTTACTAACCATTTTTGTTAATTGGGGTTTCATTTGCTTATGCACAAAAGAAATGCTTGCGTATAAAATGGACAGAAATAACAGGAAAATGCATTGTCAGTTAAGGTAAAGCTGGCTCACTGCCTTTACTGTACTGTCGTGCAAAGTCAACCCTCAAAGGCAGATTCTAAGAAATAAAATCCATGGTAACATGTCATTATTTGATGAAAAACCATACATACGCTATGGTATATTTAAGTACTTACTGATTTAGAAGATAAAAGTAATGTTTCCTGGTCAGGGGAGTACATCACCGTTTTGACAGCTCTTTCCAATTGCCATGTTTGTTCAATGTCGATCTGAGTTCCTTTGATCTGCAGACAGTGCACCATACTCTCCTGTAATAAATAGGCAAGTGCTTTTAAGTGAGATTAATGGAGGATCTGAAATGCCTAAAGAGGTCATACAGATGTTATAAGGTGCACGGGTTTGTACCTTCCCTACAGCGATCAGACTGTTCTTATTAAAGGTTAGACTTTGAAAGTTGCTCTCTTTGAGTTCAGGTAAGGCATCAGCAGCTGAACAAAAGAGAAACACAAAGAGAATGTCAAATGCTGTTTCTAAAGCCAAATAAAATTTGGTAACAGAAATATTTCCAGTGACTTTTTAAATATCTACCACATCCCAGTGTGCATGTTTGTTTACTTGTGGGGTTGAAAAGAACTGAGACGGAGAAACTCTCTGGATCAACTAGGAGCAGAAAACCCTCCGCACAGCCCACACAAAGCTCTGATGTGGCTGTCCAGCAGATGGCAGAAGGAGTCAGTCTGGCTCTGGTGTAAAATTCCGTCTGTGTAAATACATGTGGAGTTGAGCAACAGTTAGGTGTTTTCTTTGTTTTTCCTGACTGATAGCTTTCCCAAACAACACCTTAATAGATCTAAACATAGTTGCTTTACAAACATATAAAATTGTTAAAGTGTATTTAGCAAGTGCAAAGGTGAAAGTAACAATTCTTTGTCTCCCTTGAGACTTAGGAGGCATCTCTGGAGCCAATTAGACAGTTTGTTGCTCACCAAATAAGGGGTGGGTGACAGTCTCTCAACAAAGGACCCATCAGTTGCTGGAAGCTCTATTACACTGCAACACAACAAACATGACTTGCACATGAATAATATTGTTTGATCTCTACACCTGCTGATTATTGAAGGTAAAAGATAAATGTAGGGAATGTACGTAATCTTATCAACTAATTTACATGCAATGCACAGAAAATATCATCGTCCAATGTATCACTCTGGGTTTTATGTACATGCTTGTGCAGCCAGTTGTGCTTTACCTTGGTTTCAGGACATGAAAGCTTGCACTCTTCTCAATATTCCAGACAGTGAGGTGTGTCGTCCCCAATGCACAAAGCTGGAACCAGTTTTGAGGGTTGAACACCAAAGAAGTGACATCTTTTCCAGCTTGAGGTTGTGTACACACTGACTCAGCATTTTCCCAGTTCCTGCATCACAAAGTCACGATTACAGTAACAAAGCTGGTCAGTCTGAATAACAGAAGGTGACATCCAGAAGAGGTACACTACTGCTTTCTGTGGCTTACCACACTGTAATGGTGTGGTCAGGAAGAGAGGAGCAACAGGCCAAATATGGACCACCATCACATAATGCCAGAGATGTGTAGTCCAGTTGTGCTGTTCCTACAAAAAGAACCAACTATGTAGGATTTATATGAAAAAAAAAAAAATATAGGAGGGATGCATCCAAACAAACAAAGAGCAACAAACTAAAATATCTTACAGGATTACAATAAATCGCTGAATGTGTGGTAGTTGCAGAAGTAGTCATCTCTGCTTGGAGATAATATCATCTTACCTTTCAGTTCATTCTTCAGCTGAAGCTCAGGGAAATTGTACACGAATATAGACGGGGATAGTTTTTGCTCAGAGAAAGCAAAAATCCTCCATTTGCCATTAGCTGTCAGTGCACCAACGTCTCTGCCAGGACTTAGAAACACACTCTGCTTTTTTGTCTCCACATTCAGGAAACAGATATGACTCCCACATGTGTAACATACTGTTTTATTGTCCACAAAGTCGATACTCTTGTTTATAGAACCTTGTATCCACCTGGAGGGAGCAGAACAACCGAATAATAGCTAGCATTAGCATCGATGGACAGGATGTCAATAGTACAGCAATAAAAATTTAAAAAAAGACAATAGATAAGTGCAACTGTAGCTGAAACATACCTGACTTCTAGACTTCCAGTGTCGTCCATTTCAAAATAACTAAAGTAGCAGCAAAATAAAATTTAAGTATTTCTTAAACACGCAAGAAAGTGAGTCGACTCTTTGCGTATCCATAGTAACTACGAAACCCCCGACAAACCGTCCTTACATGTCATTGGCTGAAACTTTGTGTGACACGCCCACTCCGGAAGTAGCGAACTCAATAAATAATACAGCCGTACTAAAATGTGCAGTGTGCAATCGCTTCCTGGTAACGTTCTGCGTTTGTCCAGAGGCTTTTTTGTCGCTCCATTACACACCTCAAGTGTCAAGATGGTTACTCAGAAGTCTTTCGCCAAAGGTAAGACGTCATAGACTACCGTCTTTTTCTGCAAGCGGGCTAAACTACGAAGTGTTTACACTTTTTGACCTCTAAAATCTGTCATGTTGATTTTCGTTTTGATCTGGCGCCTTTGCATTACATTTCAATCTGGTTGAACTCCTTAGAAAGCTAAAGCTGACAAATTGCATGCTCCCTGCTCTCACTCATTTATTTGGTCTTTACTTGCTGCGAAATCTCAGAATCAAACTGGAAGCAAGTGGCAGATCGATATTTCACAAAATCATCATGACTGCCCCCCCTCCCACTTTATATAGCAGAACTTATATAACAGCTGAATGTTGAATCCAGTCCCAGAAATCAACTTTTTCTCTCATATGACTATTGACTTTAAAATTGATTATTGTGGGTAATCTGATGAATTGCAGTATTGAACTGAAAAAAGTAACAGATTTGATGTGACTCGACAATAATATCAGCAAAAGGGTTTGATCGATATTTTGCAAAGTCATCATAACTGTGCAATACACCCTGTCACACTTTATATAGTGATAGTGGAACTTAGATAACAGCTGAATGCTGAATCCAGTCCCAGTAATCAACGTCTTTTCTAACATGACTGTTGACATTAAAATAGATTATTGTGGATAATCTGATGAATTGCAGTTTTGAACTGAAAAAAGTAATAGACTTGATGTGACT